CCCCCGCCATTCAGGGGGCTCAGAGGTCAGCCCGCTGCCTGCCCCCACCCCCGCCATTCAGGGGGCTCAGAGGTCAGCCTGCTGCCTGCCCCAGACCACCCCTCTCCAATTGGGGTGAATCTGCCCCTCTCCAATTCAGGGGACTGGGCCCCTGGGCCTGCCCCTCTCCAATTCAGGGGGCTCACGAAGCCAGGGAAATGAGTCAGTCAAGGCCTGCCTCACAAACTTACCTCATTGAGGCACCTCAGCTCCATCACCAGCCCCGTTTGACAGGTGAGAAGGTGGGGTTCAGAGAAGTGGCTTGACTTGCCCAGGGCCATGCAGCTGGGAAACGACCCAGACTTGAACCCCGGTTGCAGGCAGAGAACTTGTTCAAGGCACGGCCCCATCTCCTGGACAGCCGTCCAGCAAAGCCACAGCCCTGGCCGGTGGCCGCTCCCCGTGGCTCTGTAGCTGGCCCCCATGGAGTCAGCCCTGAGGGGGAAGTGGGGCCAGGGTGCCCCTTCCCTCCGGAGCCACGGTGGTGATGGTGCCTCTTCCCTCCACCGGGCTGCTGGGCTCAGGTGTGGGCTGCTGCAGGTGGGGGACCGTGTCCTGTCCATCAACGGCATCGCCACCGAGGACGGGACCATGGAGGAGGCCAACCAGCTGCTGCGGGACGCCGCACTGGCCCGCAAGGTCGTGCTGGAGGTCGAGTTCGACGTGGCTGGTGAGTGACGGTCCTCGCCCCCTCCTGAGTGACGGTCCTCGCCCCCTCCTCAGCTCGAGACCCGAGTCCCCGCCCAGGTCCCGCCCGCCCATGTGGGTGCAAGCTCGCACCCACCCACCCACTCCCTGGTCCTGAGCCCTGTCCTGGGGGCAGAGCCCGCCCCAGAGGGAAGGGGGAGGGAGGCGGGAGGGGAGCGCTCCCCAGAGGAAGGACTCATCAGCGGTGAGGGTTAGTGGGGGACTCTGGGGGTGCAGAGGGGAGCTGAGCAGACCCCAAGCTCCTGTGCTTGTTGCACACGACAGTTGGGGGTAGAATTCTGCTTTTGTGACTTGGACACTTCTTCCTCCGCCCTCAGTTTCCCCAAATGTAAATTAGTGGCTAGAATCCTCCTGCTCAAGGATGCTCAGGTCAGCTTAGGCACGGGACATGCCCAGTTGGGCTGCGGGGAGCCCTCCAGCAGCTGGCAGCTGTGGGGCGTGGTCTCGTCCCTGCTCTGCTCCGACCAGAGGGCTGGTTGTGGGAAATCTGGCCTCGGTTTCCCCTTCTTTCCGGTGGGAGGAGCAGGGTGGGGTTGGACGGTGACACTCTGGGGTCCCTGTCAGGACCAGAGTGGATGTGAGTCTCTTCCTGGGACTCAGCCGGCGCGTGTCTGTCTGTCCCCAGAGTCTGTCATCCCGAGCAGCGGCACCTTCCATGTGAAGCTGCCCAAGAGGCGAGGTGTGGAGCTGGGCATCACCATCAGCTGTGAGTCGCTGCCCCCCGCTGCCCCACCACCCTCAGCCCCCGCGGGGAGGAGGCCTTGCCCAGCCCTGGAGGGTGCCCTGGGAGCAGCGGCACGTGGCCTGGGGGGGGGAGGCGCTGGGGCAGCGGTGACCCTGCCCCTCCCACTGCAGTGCCCAGCACTGTGCTAGGGCAGGATCCGCTCCGGAGCCTCAGTTTCCCATCTGTAGTCCGCCAGCTTTGGGACCGCAGTTCCCCGGGGAGGGAAGCGCTGTGTAGGGGCCCAAGCCTGAGGCCACACTGGCTTGCTGTCCGCCTCTGTGTTCTGGGAGCCCCAAAGAGGCCTGGCACACGGCGGGCGCTTAATTCCCACCTGTGAGAGAAATGAAAATGGTCCCGGGGCCAGGGACCGGCCTGTGCCGCGGGTGGGGCGGAGGGAGATGGTGGGGCGGGATGCAGACACAGTCGGGGCCGGGGGCGCCCCGGGGGCCCTGCGAGGGGGCCCTGCGCCTCCGCCAGTCACTGGAGGGTGTTACTTCCTCGGTGGAGGCCAGAGAGGGGAGGAAGGACTGAGAGGTGGGGGGGCCGCTTGGTTGCGCAGGGGCTGGGCCCTCACGGAGCTACGGTGTGCTGCGGCCTGGGCTGCGCTGGGGGGGGCGGGGGGCGACGAGGATGGGGTGCCTACTGCGTGCCAGGACCTGGGTGAGGCTTCAGGCCCGTGCCATCTGGCTTAGTGTCACGACTTCCTCACGAGGTCTACAGTGTCACCCCCATTTACAGGGGGAAACTGAGGCACAGGTCGGTGAGCTGGTTTTCTCATGGCCACCCCGCCAGGAAGCAGAGGAGCAGGGTGTGGGGGTCCCAGTCCATCTCCCGTCTCCTGGGCCCCCGAGGACATCCAAGGATGGGCTCATGGCCTCTCTCCTTCCAGCGGCCAGCAGAAAGCGAGGGGAGCCCCTGATCATCTCTGACATCAAGAAAGGCAGTGTGGCCCACAGGTAGGGGCCCCAGGCACAGGGTGGGGGCCACAGTGGGGTGGGGCGGTGCCTCCCTGCTCCCCACCTCTGCTCCTGCAGGACCGGAACCCTTGAGCCGGGTGACAAGCTGCTGGCCATCGACAACATCCGCTTGGACAACTGTCCCATGGAGGACGCTGTGCAGATCCTGCAGCAGTGCGAGGACCTGGTGAAGCTGAAGATCCGGAAGGACGAGGACAACTCCGGTGCGGCCCCCAGCTGCATGGTCACCAGGGCCAGCGGCCTGCCAGCTTGCCACCTGGGCTCCCTCTGGCCTGGGAGTGCGGGGGGCCGACCGGCAGGGGAGGGCACCACGGACTGCCCACTGTCCTGGGGCCCGAGGCCCTCCGGGGCCCTTGGGAGGCCCATGGGCATTTGAGCCACTGCTAGGACCCTCCCTGCCCGGCACAGGCCTGGCAAAGGGCACCCAGGGGGCACTGAGAACAGGTGAGGGTGGGCGGGGCGCAGGGAAGCAGCGTGGCTGCAAGCTCAGCCTGCGGCCAGAGGCACAGTGATGCTACCGCAGACGCAGACGGGAGAAGATGGTACCAGCAGGGGAGCCCGAGGGAGGGGGAGAGGCCCCGCATTCAGAGAGCTGAGAGCCCACCTCTTCCTGGAAAGCGGGTCCGAGTGGGCAGGTGTCTCGGTGTGTTTGAAGCTGGCAGTCTGGCTGCTGTGGTCATCGCCGTTGTTGGTGAATGTGGTCTGTGAGAGTTACCTGTGTCCGTGCTGGTTGACTCGCTCGTGGCAGGGGTGAATGGGGGGGTCGAGCAAGCCGGGGAAGGGGCGCGCGAGCCAGCACTCCAGAGCTTCTGACGGCCCGGGCTCTGCCCTCATGGGTGCTGCCTTGCAGATGAGCAGGAGACCACGGGCGCCATCAGCTACACGGTGGAGCTGAAGCGCTATGGGGGCCCCCTGGGCATCACCATCTCAGGCACAGAAGAGCCATTTGATCCCATTGTCATTTCGGGGCTCACCAAGCGAGGCCTGGCTGAGAGGTGAGCGGGCTCTGTGGGGACACTCGGTTGCCCAGCAGCGGCTTTGGGGCTGCACATGGGTTCTGACCTGTGTCCCAGCAGTGATGCTCCGGGGGGCGTGCATGCCCCTTCCCTCTTGAGCTCACGTCCACAGGGGTGGACTGGAGAAGGGCAGCTCCCCGCAGACCTCCGGCTCCACACAGCTGCCACACCTGTAGCTAACTCCTCGGCTCCCTCCCTACCTGGCGATTTCTGCAAAGTCACCTGGTGTCCTTTCGGGAGCACCTGCTGGGCCCGGCACCATGTGGGGTCTCTCCTGCGGGTGGGGGCTGCCCGCTGCTGCCCTCTTCTCCTAGGAATGGTCTCCCAAACTGGCCACTAAGAGCTGTGAGGAGCCTGCCCCACACTGAATTAGGGGACAAAGGGGGGCAGGGAGATCCGGGCCGCAGAGGTGAAGAGCCTGACTAGGCTGGAGTTGGGGGGGCTTGGCGGGTGGGCAGAACAGGCCCAGAAGAGGACACAGCCCAGGCGGCGGGGTGGGGTGGAGCGGGAGGGTTCAGAGGCTGAGGCTCGGGGTTGATGGCTCCGCTCCCGGAGTGCCCCCTGCTGGGGGCCTGGCAGATTGCAGGCCCCGTGCCCGGTTCTGAGCTCCAGGCCTCCATCAACTCCCACTTTGACTGGTTCCCACTGTGGCCTTTTCTGGGTGGGGGGACACAGCAGACAATCCCTGCTGCCCTCCCAGATGGTGCTGCCCCACTGCAATATAATGAATGGGAGCCACAATTAACGATAAACTTTCTGTTAGCTCTCCATGGAAGAATTAAACGAAACGATCCATCTTAAATAGTATGCTTCTTTCAACATGAAATCAATATAAAAATTATCAACAAAATATTTTACATTCTTTTCTTCTTACTCATCAGAATCTGTTGTTTATTTTAGACTTGCAGCACCTCTCAGTTCCTGTCAGCCACATTTCAGGGCCTGGTCCTTATATGTGGCTGTGGCTGTTGTGTTGGAGGCCACCCCCTGAGGCTACCCCCTGGGACCACCCCTGAGGCCACCCCCTGAGGCCACCATTCCCTCCCTCACTCAGGTCCTGGGTCCCGGGAACTTGCTAGGCAAGAGGAAGCTGAGGCTAGACCCCATGCAGGCTCTTCCGAGACTGACCTGGACATCTGGGTCCAAATTTCCCCGTCCAGGCCAGGTGCATTCCCAGTACCCACCTAGCTTCTCTCCCCACCTTCATCATGGCTGCTGCTCAGAATTACTTCCCCTAGCCCCACTCACCCCCAGAGACACCATTCTTAGGTAAGGGGTGGGGCCAGGAATCTGCATTTTCTAAAAAGCCCAGATAATTCCAGGTAGAAGATCACTGGGCCAGAGCAGTGCTCCTTCATGGCCTTGTCAGGCGGTGGCCCCCACCATCTGGGAGTCAGGTCACTGGGCCCTGGAGATTACTCCCTTCCTCTAGGTGGTGAAATTGAGGTGCAGGGAAAGAGAAATGCTACCCATGAACTTCTGCTGGAGGGAAGCATGAATCCATTCCAGCCATCTATCCTCAATTATAATGTGATAAAATGAGTTATCAATCCCCATTTTATAGTAAAAGGAACTGAGACTCAGGAAAGTTAAGCAACTAGCTCCAGATCATAAAGCTAGGATTTGGCATCTAGTATATGGGATTCAATTCAGGCACAGAACTGATGCTAGAAACTCATTCTAGAAACTAATTTTGAGTCAGATGGGATAATCCCCTCCCATATTATAGACTGTATGCCTCTATTAATGCAACCCAAGATCACAATTACATTTTTTTTTCAACTAGGTTTAACTAGGTCGTTCCCAAGTTCCCCGATGATAGATTCTGCTCCCCACCTCAAGCTCTGAGTTTCTAACTCTCACCCCCTACCCTGTACCTCCTCCCCAGGACAGGCGCTATCCATGTTGGGGACCGCATTCTCGCCATCAACAGTGTTAGCCTAAAGGGCCGGCCACTGAGTGAAGCCATCCACCTGCTGCAGGTGGCTGGCGAGACGGTCACACTGAAGATCAAGAAGCAACTAGACCGTGAGCCTCACCCCGTGCCCTGAGCCATCCAACCCATTCAGGAAGGGAGAGTCCCCTGTGCCAAGTTTTTGCACTTGCCCATCTCATGGAATCTTCGATAACCTCTATGGAGGTGGGAGGATACGAGGGACAGCTGAGGAGACAAGACTCAGACGGGAGTGATGGGCCCAGAGTAGCACAGCTGGCATGGAGCAGTCTGTCTGACCCGCACTCTCTGTCGCCTCCTGTCTCTGTGGTGCCTGTGTGTTGTGCCTGTGCGTCCGTCCTCAGGTTCCCCTGAGGTTGTGCCTTGGAAGAAAGCGGTGGAAGGAACTCAAATTTCGGGGTCTTCCTTCTTATCTGAGCTTCACTGTTGCCCGCCCGTGACCTTGGGTCTTGTTCAGCCCCCCACGTCTCAGTTCTCCCATCTATGAAATGGGCCTGCTATTGGTGTGTCACCTCCCCAGTGTCAGATGGCCCAGCAGCAGCCTCAGGGATGGGGTGGGGAAACTGAGGCGTCATCAAAGGTCTCTATACTCAGAGTCCTATGGCAGTGATACCCCCTTCCCCTCCCAGGCCCCTTCCCACCCCTCAAGTCGGGCAGCCTGAGCGAGGCCAGTGATGTGGATGAGGACCCACCAGAGGCACTCAAAGGAGGTCTGCTGGTGGCCCGCTTCTCGCCCGCTGTGCCCAGTGTGGACAGCGCCGTGGAATCCTGGGACAGCTCGGCCACGGAGGCTGGCTTTGGGGGCCCAGGTGATGCCTCGGGGCCCTCAGGCAAGCAACGTTCTCCTGGATCGCCCCACCTGCCGGGCCTTTATAGGGGTTCCTGCTGCTTGCTCATCTTCCTCCTCTCCTACTTCTGTCCTTTAGGGACGCTTTGAAGGCACTTGGCCGGGCCTCCCTGGCCACTGTCGGGGCCCTTGGCTCCTGGGAGCAGGCCCCCCGCCCCCCTCACGTCTCTGATTAGTGTTCCCCACCGTGCTGGCTGTCCAGTCCCCATCATGAGGCCAGGCTGACCTTGGGTCCAGGCTGACCTTGTCTGTCTCCCTATTCCCTGCCCCTTGCCTGGCTCACAGCAGTGCTTGCCGCATTCTCGTCCGGCTGAAGATGGCAAGGCGGCAAGGCCCCACCGCCATCCTGCATGAGCTGGCGGGGATGGATCCCGGGTGCCCTCCTAGACATAAGCTCCCCTGCCTAAGCATGTCGAGGCCCTTGGGTGGCCTGGGGCTTCTGAATTTGAGCCCTGCGACCCAGAGCCCAGCACTCTGGAAGGCTCAGCCCAGAGAACAAGAGGAACCAGGCCCCAGAGGACCTCAGAAGCTCCCGGTGCGGGTTTCCCTGGCTGATGTCTCCGCTCTGGGCCTGCTTCTGCATTGGGAGCACTTGGCTGGCCCGGCAGGCTCACCCGGGCCCTCGGGCCTCCCATTCGTCCGGTGGGACCGGGCCAGGGTCCCAGAGATGCCACATTAACACTTTCTGCTGGAGATTAGGAATCGGGGGGTTCTGAACTGGGGACCAGGGGTGCCATGGAACCTCTGGGTAAAATCACACGGGCTCCTGGCCCTCGCTGGGGTCACCCAGCTCAGCTGGAAATGGGGCAGAAGGACGGCAAGCCGGCGACCCCGCGAGCACGTCCGTCCGTGACCCCGTCTCTGCCTGCCAGGTTCCTACACGCCCCAGGCGGCCCCGCGGGGCCTGGCCTCCCAGGAGTGGCGGCCCAGCCGGCTGAGGGGCAGCCCCCCACCCGCAGAGCCCCGGAGGACCAGCTATACCACCACGCCCGCAGAGGAGAGCTTCCCTGAGGAGGAGGAGGATTGGGAGCCGCCGGCTAGGTCTGTGGCGGGAGTGCCAGGAGGGAGAGCCGGGCCTTGCCAGGACGGGGGAGGTGGCCGCCAAGTGTGCTCTGCCCGCGGAGGGGCAGCCGCTGGGCGGTGAGGAGAGAGGTGGCGCGGGCAGGGCAGGGGCCGCACTTCCCCCGCGGAAGCCCGGGGGCCCGAGGCCCTGGCGCCCCGGGCCGGGCCCTGCACCTGCTGTTGTTTGTGCCTCGAGGGACTCAGCCGCGGCCCCGAAAAGGCTCCCGAGGAGAGCGGCCCCTCTGGCCTGCTTTTGGTCAGGCTGTCCCGCCTGCCCAGGACGGTGCCCTCCTCTCCTGGCCAGCACGGCCGGCCGGGCCGGCCGCCCCCAGTGCTGCCCTGATGCCCGCCTCTGGGAGCTTGCCCGCCCCCGGGGCAGGGCTCTGCTGCCCTCTCCGGCATCCTCGCCGCCGCCGGCCTGGACCTCCCGGGCCGGGCCCCCTTGCCTCTGCCCGGGCATCGGTCTGGCCGCGTCTCCTCCACTCAGCGCGCCCCGTCCGGGCCGGGCACCCCCGGCTCCTTCCAACAGGGCCCCTGTCAGGTCCCCGCCATGACGACGCCCCGGAGGGGCCTTCGCGGGATCGAGTTCAATGACCAGGACTCGGGAGGTGGCAGACGGCCGCGTGGCGAGTGCCAGCCACGTGCGGCTGTCTCTGGAGGCCCAAACCCGGGGTGGACGCCGTGGGGTCTCGGCCCGTCCCCAGCATGAACGCACCCCCCCCACTCATCTGTGTCCCTGCTGGCTCCAGCACTGTCCCCGTCACTGTCCTATGATGCGTGTGTCCGGGTGGGGCCGGGCCATCCCCGGGGCTACACCATGGATCTCCTCTCTGTCTGTCTGTCTGTCTGTTGTCTGTCCGTCGTCTGTCTCTCTCCCCAGGCGTCCTGTGTCACCGCTCTCCACCCCGTCTCATCTGCCCCCGTTCTAACTGGCCACCGACAGTCCCCTAACCGCGTCTTTCCCCCATTTCGTGTCACCTACCACTGCCCTGGGGCCCCAGCACTGCCACCGAGGACGCCTGCCCAGTGGCCCCTTGAGCCCAGCGCTGGGCCCTGAGGCCCCGAAGACTCCTCAGGCCCCAGCCCGCCTGCCCACCCACCTGCCCGCCAGGAGCTGATGCTGTGGTTCCTACATTGCAGCCCGGCCCCCGGCCCCGCCCGCGAGGAGGGCTTCTGGCGCACGTTTGGGGAAGCCCTGGAAGACCTGGAGTCCTGCGGTCAGTCAGAGCTGCTCAGGGAGCTGGAGGTACGGCTGCCCGCCCCCTGCTGTGTGTGCTGGGCCAGCACTGCGCCCCAACCCCAGGGTCGGCCCCGCGGAGGCCTGGGTGTCCTTCACACGGGGCCCTCAGCGGCCAGCTGTCCAGGCCCTGCAGGGCTCTCTGGGAGGGGGACCTCGTGAGCGGGTTATGGGGCGAGACGACGCCTCAGCTTCACAAACAACACCAGCACTTGCTCTGCAATCGCAGGACAGTTCTCCGTGCTCCACGTTGATTTCTAATTCTCTGGGTGTGAATTTGCCTGTGGGCTGCTGGCCACGTCCACGCAAAAGCTGGACCTCATCTCGCCGGTGCAGTTACTGGCAGGGCGGCCCTCCCGCCAACCTCTTGCGGGGCCTCGGGGTCCCTGCAGGGCCGAGGCAGTTCTTTGTGTGTCTTTGGGGGGGCTCTGAGCACCCCCAGTTCCCGGCTAGATTTTACCTCGCATCCCCAGCTCACGCGAGGCGCCTTCTGACCCCGCACTCCAGGACAGGCCCCAGCGAGCTTCCTGCTTCTCACAAGGGGTTCCCCCGCTCTGCCAATCCTTCTGAGCCCCTGTGCTGGTAGGCGGACCCCTCGTCCCCATTCCACAATGCCTGGAGCACCCCACTTTCTGCTTTGAGATCTCACTCCCTTTCCCTGAATGGGTCTCCCAGCGCCCGACTTCGACGTCTGTTAACGGGGCCAGGCGGGTCTGTACCTGCTCAGCTTATCTCTAGATCTTTCTTTCCTGCTCTGTTGATTTTTAAAAATTTGACCTACCACCACATTTGGCGGGAGATGCAGCTTGGTCTGCCTACCTGGAGGTGTGAGAATCCAATTTTTGTGGTCAGAGTCTAGGACCCCTGAACCCCTGATTTTACGTGCCGGTGATTCTATCCTCTCGTTCGGATCCTGGCTGCCCCGGCAGGAGAGGGCCAGCGGTACTAACTCCGTGCTCCCTTGTTCCACATTCTGTCCCTGGGCCCACCCCAACCCAACAGTTTGGACTAAAGGCAGCTGTTATCACACCGCACCTTCCCTTAGGGGGTCAACAGTGGCGCTGGGCAGCGGGGGAAAGAAGGTTCCTGTGTTAGGAACTCGACACGCTCACAAGTAAACTCCCACCCAGCACACCCCTCAGTCGAGTCCCAGTCTCAAGGTGAATGAGTTTCCCTCGGGCACAGACCTGCCCTCCCACTAGCCCAGGCCTCCCGGTCCAGCGCCTCTGTCAGCGCCTGTGACCGAGTCCTGACTGCTCCTTCCTCCTCCCGGGCACCAGACCGCAGTGCCTTTTGCTTGGACAATTACCCGGTCCCCCTCCAGGACCATCTCTGTGGTCCAGTCTCCACGCAGCAGTAGAAACACTTCTGAGCCCACACAGCTCATTGCCAGCCTTCTCTGCCCAACTCCTCTCAACCCTTAGTCTCCCCATTGCTGCAGGCATGAAGCCAGCGCTTCTCAGTCGGGCACGGTGCTCGGCTTCCAGCCTGGCCCTGGCAGGCGCGCACCCCCCACCCCCCGCCCACGCAGCTTCAGCCCAGCCAGGGGCACTGCCCGGGCGCTCTGGCCTCGGGGCTCTCTTCCCACCCCTCCTCCTTGTGCTCAGGCTGCAGACGGCAGACGGCAGCTGCGGAAGCTTCCCAGGCGCCCACCTGCGCCAGCTTGCTGGCCTGGCCCTCCGTGCCCTCCCTGTGTCACAGCCTAAGCCGCAGGCCGTGCTGACGCGTCTAATTTGATCTTACTTAGCTGTGCGGCTGTCGAGATAGCAGAGCGGCTAAGAGCCCGGCCTTTGGGGCCGGACTCTGGCTGAAGTCATTCTCTCCAAACCCCATCTCTTCATCTATGAAACGGTGGTGGGGGCAGTGCGCGGAAGGAACAGTATTTACCCGCTCAGAGCTCCTCAGAGGAACCGCTGTGACGGTAGTGAGGTCCGTGCATGAAGTGCCGAGTCTGAGCTACCACGCAGGGACTTCAGCCCGACTGCTGGAGCGGGGTCACCGGCTCCCCGCCCCCGGGCCGAGCCCCGTGTCGGGGCCCCTGTCTGGGACCGTGGAGGCTGGCAGGTGCCAGGTGCTGAGGGGAGCAGAGCCAGCAAGCGAGCATCAGGGTGAAGGGCTGCGTCCCCCCACAGGCGTCCATCATGACGGGCTCTGTGCAGAGTGTGGCCCTCGAAGGCAGGCCTGGCCGCCGGCCCTGGCGCAGGGCCCGGGAGATGCGGGCCTCCCCTGAAAACAGGCAGGAGCTGCTGCTGCCGACTCCCCTGGAGATGCACAAGGTGGGTGTGGGGGCGGCCCAGGAGGCCAGGACCCCCGTCCTGGGCCGCGAGACTCCAGCTCGGGGCTCTCCTCTATCATGAGAAGGGGCTTTTGCACCGGCCGAGCTCCCGTCTCCCGTCATCCGGGCTTTTCCCATTGCGTCTCCTTGGTACTCGGGGTAGAATCACTTTTGCCACACTTGTCGTGAGCGTGTGCGCGTGTAAGAATCAAGGCGCACCATCCGTGCACAGGCATTCGCACATGCAATCGCTGGCGTCCATGAGGGGCCTGCATCTCCGGCTGCTGAAGGCCACTTCATAGAAAAAGTAAACACAAAACTCTCAACCTGGAGCTCCCAGAAGAAGCTCCAGCCGGGAGCAGCTTTTTGGTGAGCTGGGAGGCAAACTAGTGTGGCGTGTGTGGGAAGCCCCTCAGCGGCCTCCCTGGCTCTGAGAGCCGGAGGACCGAAGGGCTGCAGGCCCCTGCTGTCCGCAGCCGCGGTCCTGAGCGGGGGCCTGTGGGAGCCAGAAGGGAGGCCTGTGGATGCCCCCGCGGGATGCTGAGGCCTGAAAGGGGGTGTGCAGTGGCGAGGCGGGGCTGGGTCCCGAGGCCAGAGCAAGGGCCTGGGGCTATTGTGGGAGGCAAAGGTCAGCACTCCCGGCCCTTCTGCTCCCAGGTGACCCTGTACAAGGACACCTTGCGGAATGACTTTGGGTTCAGCGTCTCAGACGGTCTCCTGGAGAAGGGCGTGTACGTCCACACCGTGCGCCCCGACGGCCCAGCTCAACGTGGGGGGCTCCGGCCCTTTGACAGGGTCCTTCAGGTAATGTCGGGGCAGGGCGCCCTGAGAGTGGCCTCTCCTAGATCAGGCAGTGGCCCGGACCGGCCCTATCCTCCTCAGCCCCAGCTTGCTCCCCATGGCCCTCGAGGCTTACAGGTCAGTGCCCCCCCCCCACCAGCTGCAGGGCACCTGGCCGCAGGTGAGCAGAGGGCAGCTGTGGGCTCTGGGCCCCAACACCAGGGCCACCACTCCCTTGCCCAGCTACGGCATGAACTTTACCACATTTGTGCTGAATTACTGAATAGGTTATCTTGTCACCTCAGTGAGGCACCAAACGCCAGCACCCCTGGCTTGAAATGCAAGGCCAGTGTAAAATAGAAAGGAAGCAGAGGGCACCAGGGCTGCAGGGAGGAGGCTGGGAGCTCCCAGGTCGCCTCTGAGCAAACAGGCCCAAGGGCTGAGAGAGCCGCGGCTTCCTGCGTGTGCTCCGGCCCGGCCTTTTGGGGGGCAGGCGCCATGGCAGGACCCCACCTTCATCCAGGAGGGCTGACTGGCCTGTCCCCGGGCTGCACCCACAGGTCAACCACGTTCGCACACGGGACTTCGACTGCTGCCTGGCAGTGCCGCTCCTGGCCGAGGCGGGCGATGTCCTGCAGCTGGTTGTCAGCCGGAACCCCCTGGGCCAGAGCGGCCGAGCCCCCCGCACACCAGGCCCCGGCAGCCCCCGGATGCTCTGAAGTCGGCCTGTGGTCCAGACACCCCGGGGGCTCCCCGACCTGTAACCGCAGGAGAAGCGGCCACCCACGCGTCCGTCAGTCGGTCTGGCAGGCACTGGGCTGCCGCCGATGGCCTTGGTCTGCGCTCCCCAGTTCTGGGGTGGTCTGGGCGCCAGGCAGTGAGATCTCTGCCCCAGTGGGGTGACGTCTAGATCTTTCTCCATGTCGGGTCTCCAAGAAGCCTGGAGGTGGCTCGCTCAAGGGGCCAGCACGGGCCACTCGGCGTTCCTCGGAAGCATGTCTGCTGTGAGCTGAGCCCGGCTCCGTGTGGGGAGCGCTTTCTCCAGCAGAGCTGTGGAGCGGGAGCGGGGCACCAGGTCCCCGTCACAGGCGGGCAACAGCAGGAGCCGGACTCCCCCGGGCCTTCCCTGACCGCGGTGCCGGGCAGCAGAGATGTGTTCTCGCCTGCTCGGATGCCTGGTTTCCTGGTGGGAGCTTCTAGGGGGGGGCGTGGGGGGCAGTGGGCGTGGGGGGCACTCTCTGCAGGGCCGTGGGGCCGTGGCGTCGTCCAAGGCTGCCTCCCTACCCCTAGAACTCCGGGGCCGCGGCTCGTGTCCATGCTGAGCTGGGGCGGCCGAACCCCCCTGGTTCGGAAAGTCAGTGATTCCGGGGGGCGTCTGTCTGCAGCCCGACCCCCGGCGGCTCCCCGGCCGCTCTAACCTCCCAGGCCTCCTGCCTCTGGTGGACAGGTGGCCGCTGGCCCCTCTGCACACCCTCGGCGCCCAGCCCCTCCCTGAAAGTGGAAAGCACGGGAATGACGTGGGGGGTGGGCCCCCCCCGTGCGGTGAGATGGGGGGGGAGAGACGGGGCGGCGGCTGACCCGGGCCCTTCCCTCGTTCGCACACGGCAGTGTCCAAAGTGGTCACTCCACGTCTGTCTTCACTTAAACCCTGGAAGCACCAGCACCCCTTGATACCACTGCTCCCATTTTCCACAGGCCAGACCCCTTTGCTTTTGAGAAGGGCTTGGCCCCTCCAGCTGGTGGCTGGGGCTGTGGCCCTGGGAGGGAGCAGGTCAGGTGGCATCTGGCCAGGTCTGGGGATGCGCTGGTCTCACCACCTTTTTTTTTTTTTTAGGGTTTATTTATGTATGTGTACAAGAACTGGGGTACAGGGCAGAGGTGCAGGGTGAGAGAGGTGAGAGGCTTCACCAGAGACAGAGTGGGGAGCAGGACAGGTGGAGGGACTGAAACACACTGCTGAGGGGGGCGGCGGGCGGGGCAGGAGAGGTCTGCCCCCTCCTGCCCCGCCCTGGGTCAGCTCCCTGGCTGGTGACTGGATTCAGGCCAGAGTGCTGCCCCGCCTGAGCGCTGTCTTTAACCCCTGTGCCACCAGGGAGGTCCCAACCCAGCTCTTCACAGGGGTCTCAGGAAAAGAGGGGGGCCCACCCCCAGGGCCCGTGTCCCCTGGAGGGAATGTACTTCCACTCAAGCGAACAGTTGCTTCTGCCTGGTTCGCTGTTGGATTGCTGCGTGAACCCTGAGATTCAGGACGCCCCCGAAAACCAAGGAGTGGGCAGTCTGGGAGGCTCCTCAGCTTGCTTGGCCCCCCCCACCCCACCGCCCACGGGCACTCCTGGGCCCAAGCCTCCCTCCCCCCCACCCCACCCTCACCCCCTCTCCCACCTGTGGAGAGTCCTCCTCGGGCTGGACTGCCTGGTGTCTGTCCCTGGACTCCGGGTAAACACCCGGGGGGGAAGGGGCACGGCAGGAGCCTGCCCGCAGCAGGGACGGCCTCAGCTGTGCAGCTCGGGCAGGTGGCCCAGACTCGCCGAGACCTGCTCCCTGGGCCTCTGTACTGGGAAGGAGCCTTTGAGGGCAGGTGGCAGGTGAGAAGATGCTTCCTGCGGGACCAAACCAATGCTCCCCCTCAGGCTGTGGCCTCCGCCACCCCTGAAGCCACCCCCCACCCCACGTATGCAACCAGGCCCAAGGCCGCCTCCTCATATGCAATATTTCTGGCGCCTCATGGGGATTCTTCCTCCCACACTTGACATTCCCTGACCCCGCCCCGGTGAGCGTCCTGCCTGCCTATGCATTTCGGGTACAGCCCCTGCCACGTGTCCCTCCCACCCCCTAAAAGCTGTATTTTTCTCTGGCTGAGATGAGAGCATATTCCTTGTAAAGTATTTTTCTACGGGGTTTTCTTCGGGCTCCCGGGAAGCACACATGCCCAGGGGCGCACTACAAAGGCCGTTTGGGGTCAGCGTGGGCCCGCGCACACCTCTCCCACCAGGGCTTGCCAAGACTTGGGAGCTGGGGGGCGGGCCTCTGGGGTAATGTTTTTAAATAAAACTGTCTAAATGCACCTGGAGTGGGTATCTGCTGTTCTTTCCTAACCACGGGCTGGGAGTCAGCTGTTTGGCCCTGCGACACTGGTGTCTCCGTGCCCTAAGCTGCTGCTCCCCTTCCAGTTAACCCTAAGGAGACCCTTCAGGAGGTATCGGGTGCAATGGCCAGAGGAACCGGGATGGGGACAGAGTTGGGGGTCAGGTAGAGGTGACAGCCCTGCAGGATCTGGAGCCCGCCCTGCGGAGAGGCAGAGGATGTGCCCAGGCAGCGGGTTCAGCCAGCCGAAGGCCTGAGCTGGGTATTAACTTGGTGGCTTTCAAGGAGAAGGCCTGGAGGACCAGTGGGGCTGGAGGTCACAGGACCCCATACGGTCATGCCTGGCGGGGGGGACTCAGGGGCAGCTGAGTGAGGGCGCTCCGGAGCCCCTTCGGCCTGGGGGATCTCCACGGGGTGTCCACCCAGAGCGGGCGAGCAGGCCAGGCCTTGGGGGGCACAGCTATGCGGTCATGGAGGATACAGTGGGATGAGCTGGACTGGGGGCCAGGATGGGGGCCGCCCAGGGGACCCTGCTCTCCCCAGCGCAGGGAGGGTGACAGTCCGGGACATCTCAGGAACGGGGAGCAGTGAGCTGGCCACACAGACCCCAGAGGGGCAGCCCTCCCTGGCGGGCCAAGTGCTCGCCACTGTTGGGCACCCCCGGGTCCTTCAGATAGCTTCGGAGGTGGCTGTTCACCCCAACAGAGACGAACAAATGAGGCCCAGCGAGGTACATAATAACCTGCTCAGGGTCAGAGAGACAGGACCAGAATTTGAGCAGAGGGAGGGAGGGAGGCAGAACAGCGGCTTGCTGAGAAGCCGGGGGACAGAACCCAGCAGCTGCCCTGCCTCGTGGGGGGTCCCCAGACAGCCTGGCTCAATGCCCGTGTCGAGTGACCACCTTCCCAGGCCAGAGACCTGGCGTCATCCTTATTTCCAGCTTCCGGGCTGACCGCGCCCAGCTCGCCCGCCCGCCCTAAGTGATTAGCAGGTAACTGTGCGCACCTGCGACCTCAGGTTGGCGCCGGGCCCTCTTCCGGGGGAGGGCCTGGTGTGCAGGGACGTGGCTTCCAGCCACCCACAGCCTCAAAGCAGGTGGTGCTTTACCCGGACAGCTCAGCACTGGGCAGAGCCAGGGGGTCAGGCCCAGGACCGCGATGTGGACAACGACCTTGTGCAGCCCGAGCAGACCTGGAGCAACGCACCTGTGCTCCAGCCCCGGCTGACAAGAGCCACCTGCGAGAGCATCCTGTAGGCTCTGAACACCCTGGACCGGCTGTGAGGCGTTAGCCAAGCACGAGGAAACAGCCTCCCCCAAACATGCCACAGCCGTGCTGGATTTAAGAAGGAAATGTTTATTTTCATGTTGTAAGGTGATTACAAACTCCTCTAAAAAAAAAAAAAAAAAAGAGCAAAGATGAATTTAAAATATTGATATACATATTTATCTAAAAAGCAAAAGAGGAAAAGAAAAGCCCTGAAGATACAGGGACTCATATCAGAAAACATTTATACACAAAAGCTTGGGTACTGCAAGACTGAATTACACACCAAAAATCTTATCAAATACAAAGGTTCCTCCTCAGAAGAGTCTCTTGTTGGTTGATTTTTTTTTTTACAAAAGTTTAAAATACCTTAAAAATATTTTGAAGTTTAAAAAAAAAGTCCTGATGAGCCAGACATTTCTGGAAGGAGGCAAGACCCACATTTCTCAGCTTTCCTTTGTGCTAAATACAGTCACAGTTGCTGGGGATTTGGAAATTAATTGGGGTAAAAGGAAAAAACCAAAAAACCAAAATGGAGCCAACATCCCAACTGGAAACCAAATCTGTAACACCCCCCCCAGGGGTCATGCCAGTGGGGACACCCACGAGAACAGCAACATGGCGCCCCACAAAGGGAGTGCGGTGGGGGCCGGGCGTGGCCGCGCCCCTCTGGCTCTGTGGTCCGGGTTTGTGTGGTCTGGAGCTCTGCACAGTGGTGTTCACAGCATCTCAGGCCAGCCAGGCGGGGCTGCCTGACCTTGGCGTGAGGACTGGGCGGGCTGCTGGTGGTCGGCAAGGGTTTCCTGGGTCCTTTCCTGTCTGCGGTGTCAGCACTGGCTGCCCAGAGGGGCTCCCACAGAGAAGGGCGGAGTGGGGGTGCTGGCCAGACCACTGCCGTGAGAGGCCTGTACTAGGGCCGGGGCGTGGGGGCGTGCGTGCTGCTGGAGCGCCCGAGGGCTTCATCCCGTCTCTGGGAGAGCGCTGGGGGCCTGGGCCAAGACAAGAGACCTGGTGTACGTCCTGCAAAGGGAGTTCCAGAAGGCACCATCCGAGGTCACTTCCCGCTGCGGTGTGGAACCCCCACGTGGCCTCCGGCTCACCAAAAGTTCCTTTGGGCTCAGCTTCCTCAGGGGCACTCATCTCAAGGGGGTGCTCCCAGAAGGCTGCAGGGGGCTGGGCAGGCCAGGGGGAAGGGTCGGCTTCCCCGGAGACTCCCACAGAGCCACGGCCTGGGGTCCAAATGGTCCAAGAGCAGCCAGAAAGTGGAGGTGCTGCCTGCCGGACGCCAGGGGGCTGGGTTCCCCTGGGGGCCCTACAAGCCCATTCTGCAGCTCCCTGCCTGAGCCGGCTGGCGGGACTGTGGGTGAGCACCCCAATTCTCGAGGCGTGCCGCCCCTTCCTTGACGTGGCGACACACAGCAGGGCATCGTGACACTCGGCACCCAGAGCCAAGCGCTTCAGGTACACAAGAGTGGGGCGCACACACGGGGTGGGGGGCAGCGGTGGGAGACAGTCGAGGCGCAGGCTTGGGGACAGCGGCTGACCCTCCTTCAGGCGAGGCCTGGGGACTTGGTCTGCATGTGTCTTTGGTCTAGAATTTGGTCTGGAAATCTTAGAAGAAAAGGCCTTCCAAGGGCCATGTCCAGCATGTTGCCACTAGCCTGCCAGCCCGAATGGCCAGGGTCGTCCAGCAGGGTCTGAGCCCCATCAGGGGCGGTGGGGCATGAATGACCCCCGATGCCCAGGCAGCCCCAACTTGCCAAGCACCCCTGCCCTCACCCCTCGCCCATCCCAGCATCGACAGTGGTTAGTTTGCTAAATTCCCATAAGACAAAGGAAAACAGGTCACATTGCAACTCGGTAAAATTAGGGAGAAAAACCCCAAACAGACCCAATCAGACTCGGCGGCGACCACAGACACACACAAGGAGCACGGCAGAGCGCTGCCGGCTCGGAGCAGGGCGGTGTTGTTTGGCAGAGTGTGTGGAAATGGTGAGGTGGGGGCTTGCCGAAGACGAGGTTCAGAACGGCCTCTGCCCCTAGGGAGGGGGGTCCCCAAAGGCTTCCCCCACCCCGAACGGGGGGTAGGGGGGGGTTCCGGGTTTCGGGGGGCCCCCCCCCCAGGCAGTCACTGCCTTTTGTGTGTGACAACGTTTGGTTTAGTTCAGACTCTGAACTGTAAGTGACTGTTTATGGCACAGTTTAGGTCCAAGTGGGAGCTGGGGGTGTGACGATAGTCCTCAAGATTTTAAAGGTGGGGCACCTTCTCCCGGTTCAGAGAGGATCACTGCTCTACGTAGGGCTCTTGGGGTGACTCATCAATCCCACCTTCTAGAAAGTGGTGCATTACCTCCTCCCGCCGTGCCACATACTGAATATCTGACCCCAGCTAATGCAGGGGTTTGACCCTTCACCTGGGCACTCCCCGCCGGGGGCTGGGGCGACCCTGTGACCTCCCGCAGGGCTCTGGGTGAGGACGGAGAGAGAGGAAAGGAAAGCCGCCCTCGAGGCACCCTCTGGCCCGCTGCTCAGCCCTGGGCCCCACAAGTGTGACACTCCCCTCCCGCAGCAGCATGGAGAGGCTGGTGGCGCGGACAGCAGGTGGCCACGACCCCACTCAGATCCAACAGAGCCCTCTGAGGTTGGAACCCCCAAACAGCCCCTGTGCCAGATGCGCGAGGGACCTGGATTTGGGCCGAGCAGCACCCCGCGAGGCCTGCAAACCCCATGGCCAGCTACCAGTGCTCCTGACCCTCACTGCCCTCTCAGTCCCGACAGTCCAGCTAACGACCTGCCCTCGATCTCAAAGGGTGGGGGCTCCCGTGCAGTGGTGTCTGCTGCTCAGAACCGAGTGAGCGTCATGGGCCGGGCCAAGCCAGCCCCTGGCCGGCTCACCGCTTTGGCAGCTAAGACCAGCGCAGAGAGGGCCTCCCACGGCCCTGCTTGCCCCAGGCCCCTGGGTCCTCTCCCTGCTGCTTGCCATCCACCTGAACCAGGCTTCGGAAGGTACCTCACCTTTAAAATGGGTCTGCTGTCCCAGGAAAGTTCCACCCGGTGTTTTGTGGGGAAGAACTTTCTGCCAGCCGCACAAGCACCGAAGGATTGCGTTTGAAAACGAGATCTATTGCTGGAAAGATCAATTCAAGTGGAAAAAGTGTACGACAATCTCTAAGCGTATATATAGTCATATGTAAAAAAAAAAAAAAAAAAAAGACAAAGAAAAATTTACCAAGTTCCCATAAAATACATCTAATTCAGTATGAAAGCTCTGCCTCTCCCCGGACATCTGCCCGGGGGTTTCTTTTTGTACAAAACATCCCCCCAAATCAAAACGGTACACACATGCACACAGCACTGCACACACGCACACACGCACACAGTAACGTTGTCTGTGACAGTTAAAAAAAATCCTAGTGCAAATATAAAGCTCTGTAAACCTGGTCCTACGAGAATCTAATGTTAGTAAACAGCAGGGAAGCAGCCCTGTGGGCCGCGAGCCCTCACATCATGGTCTCCACTATGATGTGCGTCGGCTTCATGAGCGCCCCGTTCATGTTCACGGACAGGCAGGAGCTGTAGGGCGCAGCCCCCTCGCGCTCCACGGCCCAGCGGTTGGGCTCCCTGGGCGTCAGCAGGTACTTGACTCTCTGCGGAAGGAAGGGCACACAGCGTGGTCAGGCAGCCTGGCTCCCCCCTCTCCCTCACGCCGGCAGCGTGCTGCGCAGGCTTCGACCAGCGACTACCCTCTCTGGCCTCCCCTTCGTCCACCTCCTGCCTGGGTCCACGCGGACTTCAGCAGGAAGAAAGCGGGTGCACAGACCAGACGCCCTCCGTCTGGCCATCCACATTCCATTCCAGTGCGTCAGTTGATTTTTTTTAAGCTGCTTCTTGAAAGCGACGCTTGACCTTGGGCCCCATAATTTAACAAATGGCCATTCAGAATGCCTGTTGAATACTGGGGTCCCTGCCGGTGTCCTCTGCTGAGGGGCCCCACAAACACCACCCTCAGAGAGGCCCGGCTTCTTGGTTCCCGCCTGGCACACCCCTGCCTACTTCCTGCCTCCCACGGCTGGTCCGTGCGCCGCCCCCACCTCTCACCCCGTCAGCACCTCCCGGCCTCCCGCTGCCACCCGGAAACCGGCCCAGTCCCAGGGAGAGACGGGCCCCAGGACATCCTGGCTCCAGATTTTTAAGAGAATAACAATAAAAATGTCCAGAACAAAACAGTGCTGTCTTGGAGCGGGCCCAAGCCCAAAGGTTAAGGGAGATTCTAAGAACAGGATTTCTTGGAAAGAGCCTTGGCTTTTGCCAGGGCTGGGGATCTCCAGTGTTGTTAGAGGAATTTCAAAGGAGGCAGGGAGAGACTTCCCCACCGCAGCGGGAAGACTGGCAGGCAGAAACCTGGAGGGCAGAGGTTTGCTTGGGCAGAGGCATGGTCTGAGGGTCAGGGCCAGGACCGGGAGGGGGCAGCTCCTGGCCAGGGCGCCTCAGTGGAGCCCTCGTCTCTGGGCTCCCAGTTGCAAGCCCGAGGCCTCTCCTGCAGCTGGCGTGGCTGCAGCCGAACCACTGGGCCTCCAGCTGTGCGCACCCAGCCCGGGGCCCGGCGAGCTCACCACGAGGAACGGTCCTTCCGTCTGGCAGAGGCGGACAATCATGACCAGGGGCACGCACATCATGGAGGTCAGGGCGAGGGTCCAGCCCAGCCCAATGGCCCAGTTGGGGTACACGTAGACTTTGTTATAGGTCAGGGGGATGTACTTGACGAGAGAGAAGATAAAACATCCCTGTGGAGAGAAGGAGGCAGTCAGGAGGGCCCTGGGCATCCGCTGTGCTGCCAGCGACCCCCGAAGGGCCTGACTCCCCGAGCTCTGCTACTGTGAGGCCCTCCTCTGCCCAGCGCAAAGGTGAACAAGTTTCCCTCCTCTAAACTGCTGGGGCTACCCAGAACCCCAGGACGCAGTATGAGTGAGAGCTGCCCTCTTCTCCCCTCTTCCTCTCTGGCTACTTCGGCCTCCAGGCCCTTCGGCCACTGGCCCAGGAGCCTCAGCCAGGCCATTCCCTGATGGACCCGCTGCCCCTCCTGCCCAGCTCCAGAAGAGCATGTGGCCGGTCGCGTCTTCGGCCCCCGAGTCAGAGAGGGCAGCGGGCATGTCTGTCTGCTCCCATTTCTCTACTACGAGCTGCAGTTCCAAGTGCAAACAGCAGATGCACCGTAAATGCCGCCCTGGGAAGGCCCCCCCCCACCGGGCTCCTTCCCCAGTGCCCTGGAGACAGCGTCCGTGAGCAGCATGTAGGAGAGCAGCAGTCAGCTCCGAGCCACCAGCCGAGCCACGCAAGCCCCAGAGAGCAGGTCAGGCCGGCCCGGGTGGCCAGGACGTCCGCCCTGGGCAGGGAGCCCGAGGACGTGGGTTTTGCACCCAACTAAACGCACTTCCACGCGTGAACTGTCCCGCTCGGAGCCCAGGCTGCTACAGGCACTGATTTTGGCCGGGACTATACGCACAAGGAGAAGGCCTCAACCCGTAAGTAATAAATGTCAAGGAGCAACCGGCTACAACTCTGGCCACGGCTCAGCCCCGTCCTGCTCCCCCTCCCGCCGCTGTCTCCCTGGACCCCAGCGGGGAAGCCAGGGTGGGGGGTGCCGTGACTCCTCCTGGCCTGGGCACCCCTGGCCCCCTGCTCCCGTGGCGTGAGCCGGGCGTAGAATGCCGCCTCTTCCCCACGAGCCTGCACTCAGGCCGCCTCCCACACTGCCCGGCTCTGCACTGGCGCGGCACCGTGGGTGGCCACACCCCACGGAGCTGGGCGGGCAGCCTGTGGGAAGAGGACCGTGGCTCCGCCTCTCCAGCCCCCCCCCAACCTGCCACTGCCACCACTCCAGTGTCCCAGAGGCCCCTCAACTTCAGCCACGACCCAGCTGGGCTCACCAGAGAGGCTCCCCTCCCGCGGACTCCCCAAGTCAACACGCCAGCACGCTTCCTCTTTCAGAACGCCTGGCCTCGGCCAGGAATGCCCTTCCTGCTCTCCCCTCCTGACCTCTTCCAAAGCCACCCACGGCAACCTGCGGGCAGCTCCCCCAGCACAGCCGTCTCTAGGCTGGGTCTAGGCCGGCACTTAGCATCTGCCCGGGGAGTACGGGCCACGGCCCCGCCCGACAGACTGGAACTTACAACGCAGAGAATTGGAGTGACCACAGCCCAGCTGTACTTCATCCAGGGCCCGGGCCGGTAGCCGATCATGTCCTCAATACCGTCATAAAAGTTATCACTGCCTGCAAGAGACGAGGGAGACGGTGGTCACGGGGGCAGAGGCGAGCAGAGGCTCGGCCAGCAGGAAGAGGCCTCCCCCAGGTCCCTACAACGCACAGCCCCAGGGCACAGACCACGCGTAGCTGAAAGTGTCTCAACTTCAAATGTAACGAGGCAGCCTGTATTTTTCTGGCAACCTTAGGCAGACCCCAAACTCTGGCCAAGCCGAGGTTTCAAGGAGGTCGCCACGAACCCCTCCCAGCCAGACGAGTGACAGGTAGGTGCCAGGTCTGTGGAGACACAGCCGTGCCCTGCACTCAGCACAGGGAGGGGTGCAGGGTATTATGTGTGGGAAGGCCTTCGTGCTGCACTCAAGAATCCCCCTTAGAATTCTGTTTCTGAAGCTTCTAGAGGCCCAAAAGGTTTGAGGAAGGACATGCGAAACTTGGTACTCACCATATATCCAGGCAATAACAAAACATTCAAAGAATGCAACCCACAAAAGGCATACACCGCTAGCTGCATAGTAGTCAAAGAGTTGAAACACATACATGCCACCCTGTGAAGAGAAGATGGGACGTTGCCTTGCTACTTGGAATCTACCCCCTCCATACAGAAAGAGCTCTCAAGGGCCCTCCCTGCTGGTGCAACCGGTTAAAGAGCAGCGCTATGAAGCTCTCACAGCCTCTGCAGCACAAGTTCAATCCCCGGCCAGGGAGCTGACCCACATGGCCCGGCAGACCTCTCCTGACCCGCCCGCTGCTCCCCTCAGCAGTGTATCTCAGTCGATCTGCCTGTTCTGCTCCCCACTGCCTCTGGTGAATCCTCTTGCCTCCCCCCCACCCCATACCTCTGGCCTGTACCCCAGTTCTGTATGCATAAGTAAATGTATCTTAAAAAAAAGAGCTCTACTATAGCAATAAAAAATAAAGATCTTCATACAACAGAGGCAGAGGCGATGATGACCATGTGTAACAAGTTGCTCAACTTCCTATGACAAATTAAACCACACACACAGAAGCACGAATGCTTCCTTGGAGGTTTGTAAAACCTTCTCCCAACACAGAAGGCAGACCGCAGGGACACTCACCCCCACCCCAGGGGCACTCAGCTGCTGGTGTGGCATGAGCGATCTGCCGTTTTCTGGGGGTGGGGGTGGGGGGTGGATTCTTACAGACACTTCCAGATAAAGTTACCTCCAGTAAGGAAGGCGATGTGCAACCTTGAACTCATTTGGGGGCAAGTGCACTTTGGGGCACAGGTGGGGAGGGGGCAGGGAGCCCACGCCCCAGCACATGCAGGGCAGGCTGCACTCTGCCTTGTTCTGCTCACTGTGCGCGGGGCCTGCTCCTCGCTGGATGTGCTGACCTGCCGCTGCCAGACTCCTGCCACGCCCTCTCCGCTCCCCGCTGTCCCCACCCACCAGCTGACCAGAGCTCACTCCCTGCTACATGGACAAGCCGGCGCTGCTCGCTGTGTGGAAGGTCTGCACTGCCCGGCACCGGCACCCACACCCCCTGTCCTCCCCCAGACGGTCAGGGGTGAACGGGCTTTGCTAAAATGGTCCCAGCTAAGGCTTCCCTTCCCCTTGCTGGATGCGGGTGGGACAGAGGTGGCCACACGTTTCTACGGCAACATAAAAAAGGGGCGGGGGAGTTTAGGGTCCCCCCCCCCAAAGCCCCAGTGTAGGCTGCGCCCCTGGGCTGAAGAAGACCCCTAATTGGGCAGACCCTGACCCTCACCCAGGTGCTGCCTCCAGGGGGTGAGGGGAGGGGAAGAGACCACGAGGCCTTGAACTGCCCCAGAAGCACCGGCAAGGGCCTCGCCACCTACCTCCGTCACCATCGTCAGCCCCAGCAGGTAGCTGATGCTACACATGAAGGCGATGAAGATTTCCCGACGGAAACCCTTCCTTAGGAAGGATGGGTAAAGATCAACCAAGGACGTGATCTGTCCTTCGACTTCAACAAACTGGGAAGGAAAAGACAGGGTTGAGTGGCACGCACCTAGCACCTCCCCTGGTGGGAGGGCGCCCTGGCACTGGCGAAGGGCTCTACAAGGTGCAGCCCCAACTTGTGAAGCTGGGCTGTGGGTGATGAGGCCCACCTGCCACCCCTGGTGCCAGGTCCACGCTCCGGTCAAGCCACAGGGGACGCACTAAGCCAGCAGGGGGCATCTGTGCACCCCTGCTCAGGCTCAGCCCCAGCAGACGCCGGCCCCTCCCGCAGGGCCGGGCTCAGTGGCTGCCTGTCTGCACAAGCTGCTTCCTTGGTCTGGATCCTCTCTGCAGCCAAGGGTGCAGCCCAGCGGGCCAGGCACAGGCTTCCCTGAGCAGGCCTCAGTTTCCCCATCAGATTCCCGCAATGGCTTTAACCCTCTGGGGGTCAGGACCCAGGTAACTTGCACGCTTGCTTCACGCCACATGACCCTGTGCATGTGAACCAAATGCTATAGGTGACCAGGGGACCCTCCCTAGGACTCCCCACAGCAAAGCCCCCTTGGAAAGGCCCCTCCACAGGTAACGCTCACTGCTGTCAGAGATGTTCTGCATCCCTACGTGAGAGCTGAGGACAAGCCAGCCTGTGGACAGGACGGCTCCCACCTCCCCAGGGCTCACCTGAGAGCCGCAGCCCTGGCCGAGGCTCCCCTCAACATCAACTTTGAGGTGCATGTGCACAAGCAACGGAAACTTCGGGGTTGACGGGCACGTGGACTGGTGTCCACGTGAGTGGCTGTGGCCAGGCGCCCTGCGGGTCGACCGCCTTCCGACGGCTCTAGAGCCGGAGGCCTGTATCTCGCCCCGCCGGGGAGAGGCTTGCAGGGGCCAGGTCTTCGGGGCTGACCCGAGGCAAGCCCGACTGCTTTCTCCTTGACCCTGCATTGCAGGGGATCAAGGAGAGCCAACAGGGAGGGAAATGCCTTTGCCGTGCTGCAAGGGGCGGGGAACAGAGACTTGCCAGGAATTTGGGAGCCAAGAGGCTCACCCACGGGCGCGGCGAGAAGGGGCTCAGGCCGTGACCGCTGACGGCGGTGTCAGCCAGAGGGGCTGCGAACACAAAGAGCCACTGGCCCTTCTGCAAAGCAGCATCTCAGTGTGCAGCTGCAAACGGTGCACAAAACAACGCACAGAACGTTCCCTTCTTCGGGCTGGGAAATGACGCTGTAGGTCAGGGCCAGGACCAGCCAAGTGGGGACTCCGGTCCCTTCTGGGGAATGCCACCCCCCCACCCCAACCCCGCCCACAGCTCCTCTGACCTCCCTCCCTTCACAGACACAGACCCTGGCTTCTCTGGGCCAGTCCCCTCCCTGACAATGGAGGGGTCTCGCTGGTAACTGGCAATCAGGTGACTGGCCCGCGTCCGAGAGCGGGACGGGTGAGCCTGGGGGGGCTGGGAGGCTCCGGCTCTCTTCTGTTTATCCCCAGATGTGCCTGGGCTTCCTGGCGTGGGTCACCTACTGTGCTGTGCACAAGGGCACTGAAGCCCCCGAGCGCTCGGGACCCGGGACCCTGGGCGGAAGAGGCCCTTCTGACGAGGTTGGCTGTGGACCTGCACGTCTAGGAGGCTTTTGGAGGGACTCGGTAAGTGGGGACGAACTAGCAGGACCAAGTCCAGGCCAAACCGGGGCCCCAGACCTCTGCCACGCCCTCCGCCCGGGCCCAGTGTCCCGGCCCTAGCGAGCAGCCGCTGTGCCCAGGCCACATCGGACGCTGCAAACAGGAGCTCATATATACAGAGGGGGTGAGGTTTAGGCAGGGGAGGGTGTCCGGAAACGTTGGGCACAGCACAAAGCTGGCCCGCGACAGCGGTCGAGATGCACGTAAAAAGCCTGGCCTGGAGCCTGGCCCACGTGAGCACCGTCCTGGCAGGGCGCTCCCTGGCCCTGCAGCAGGTGTGTGCAGGCAGCCACCGCAGCAGAAGCCGAGTTCCCAGGTGCCAGGAGGGTTCCGCTCCGGCCCTGACCCCGAGACACCATGTTCCCATTCCTCGGTTCGAGTCCCTGCCTCGCCCGCCACGGCAGCATCGCTGGGCTCTAACTCGAGTACGGGCTCCACAGCAGGTGAGGCTGGCGTGGAGCATTCACGGGCCCCCTAAGAGCGAGGCCACCCCGCGGCCTGGCCGGGGTGCACATGTTCTCTGGCAAGCCCCACCTGCCCCCCAGGGAGAAGATCTAATGAATAACTACCTCTTCACTGTGGAAGCAGCTCGGCCCAAGAGGCCTATTTTGGGCACACGAGATGGCATGCTTCATCATTTATTAACCTCTCTCTGTTTTTGTTTTTTGCTTTGACTCGGAACCCTGAAGAAGCGATGAAGCCATTTGCTTGGGCCCCCTGAAGGCCAAACTCATTAAGGCGGGATGATGAATGGGGCCCTCTTGCTGTTTACACAGCTCAAGTCCATCAACAACTGCACAAGTATTTTGTTTTCAGTCTCCCAAATGTTTCCATTCTGCCTTCTCTGCTAATCCTGATCCCCTCGCTGCCAAATCCCTCTCGTTCCTGACCTTGCCAGCGAAACGCCTCCTCTCCTCTGCCTGACCTTCTAAAACCTTCCTCCTGTCTCTTCTGGAGTCCCCAGGGCCCTGCCCGGAACACTGACTTTGAGGCTGTGGCCATGGGGCAGGCGGCAAAGCCCCAGACTCACCACAGCCCCCCCCCCCCAGGTCCCAGCTGGTCAGATCCGCCGGTGCAGCTGGACCCCCAGACCATGCGAGAGGCTGCAGATGCCTGCTTTTCAGTGACAGGCCTCCGAGGGGACGGAGTGGCACTGCCCACAGGGGTAACTGACCAGGCCAGCCCGCACAGGGGCAGTCACGCCTGGCCTGGGGTTGCTCTCAGAAGAGGACCCCGTGCAAAGGCGTCAACTCCAGGAAAGGGGCCCAGAGACAGGCTGACTGTCCTCCAGCACCACAGGCTGCCCGGACCAGGCACTGTGCCCGCCCGCACAGCGAGGCTGCCTAAATCACACTGCTCGGGGACGAGGGAAGCGGGCTTGGCGGGAGGAAACACGTCCGAGGCCACAGAAGAGCCTGGAGGACTTGGAACCTTGCTGCCCCAGAGCCAGAAATCCAGGAACACATTGCTGGGGGAGGGGAGGACGGCGCCTCCAAAGGTGGAAGCCTGCAGGGCCAGGCTGGGCGAGGCTCCCCGAGCCCGCGGCTGCTTATAAAGCCCTGGGGGACCAGGCAGCCCCTTGGGGCCAACACGTGTCTCCGCGTGCCCCCAGTTCTAGGACTGGACACACTGCCGGACGGCTCTGCCCACAGGGCCTCCCACTGCCCTACAGAAGCCTCCACAGGGCACCCCTACGTGCTCCCCTGCTGCCCCTTGGGGCCTCATGAGAACCCCATCTCTCGTGTGTCCGTTTCCTCTACTAGGGGCGTGGGGGGAGCAGAGACAACCCTTGGGGCACATCCCACTCCTTGGGGGGGCTTGGAGGGCCCCTCCCGGCTGAAGCTGCTGCCAGTCCGACGTGAGGGCAGGAAGGGGTGCGACACGCTCAGAGGGGGAGGCTTTCCCAGGACCAGCTCCCTGTGGGCAGAAGGGGCGCGCCTGGGGACCCCCACCTGCGCTACGTACCTGGCTATCCAGTCCAAGCAAGAGAAGCATGATAAAAAAAAGAATGGACCAAAACGTGGGCAGAGGCATCATCGTCACAGCTTTTGGGTAGGCAATGAAGGCCAGGCCGGGCCCTAGAGGGAAGAGAACACGGGGAGGGGCAGAGGGAGACACGTCAGTGACTGCGGCACCCCAGACTCCAGCTCACACAAAGACACCTGGGTCTGAGACGGGTCTCCCAAACCCAAAATGCAGGGCGAGCCGGGTCTGAACTCTCGCTGGGGCAGAGACCAGGCCTGTCTCACTTGGGGCGGGACGCACCGGGCTCAGGTGGGGCCCCGTTTTAGCATCTGTCTCCTAGGCAACAGCACAGTGGCCTCCTCACATGTCGGGATCCGACGGACACTGGGTGTTTGGGGCGGGAAACGGGACTGAGCCGGGACTCAGTCTGCCAGCTTGGAGGGCTCCTCCCGCCTCCCCAGCCCCCCAACCAGAGCAAGCACGCCCATGTTTGCTGGAAGGAAGCAAAGGGGAAATTGTGGTTATCGGACTACTGAAGCCCTTGATAGCAAAGAAAAGGTCTCTACTTCTGAGTTAATGATGAAAACATTCATTGTATGAGCAGGAATTGAAAGAGGCCTGAACCGCACGTTCCCCACGGGGCAAAACGCCTCTCCAGGGGTGCCCCTGCTTACCCAGGGGCAGGGTCATAGCCGAGCCCTCAAGGCCAGGCTGGGCCCGCCCACAGCTGATGGGGAAGGGAGCCCCCAGGCCCGGAGACCCCCAAACACCCTCCGTTCTCATCCTGCCATCCTGCTTGCATCACCACACGCCCTCCGGAGCCTCAGTTTCCCCTGAGAAGTGAGGTCACCGGAACGACTCCCAGGAGCCGGTAGCTCAGACTCTCCATGCCGACACCCCTTCCCTAAGAAAGGGCTTCTGGTTTCCAAAGAGGAGACTGACAGAATCTGGGGGCAGGGCCGGGGCAGGACCCCAGAGCTCTGGAAGCCCCACCGACTGCGGGCTTTGCCGAGACAGAAATGTCTCCTGTCTCCACCCAGCCGCCTGAGAAAGGTGCTGAGGTGGAGCTGAGCTGCGGGAGGCCTGTGGCGGGGCAGGAGCAGCAGAGGAAAGGCCCGTGCTGAGAAAGCGAAGTAAATTCACAACTGAAACAAGGCTAAGAAAGGTGGAGCAGAGGGCTGGGTGTTCCACTGAAGCAGGCGTCAGGAACCAAACGGATGTTTTAGGAACGGACAATAGAAAACCCACAAAACTTTGAAGTAAATGGGAGCCAGAAACCACATCCCCTTGGAAGTCAACCGCACGCGAGGTGGGTTAGGGCGAGTCCTTCTAAGGTCCAGAGTCCACAGGACCCGAGGAAAAGCCGACTGGGCCGAGCAGGAAAGTCCGTGTGACGCGGGCAAAGGAGTCCAAGTTGCGACAGAGCCGAGTTTTTCCTCCTCCGGGACCGGGACCGGGACCGGGACCGGGACCGGGACCGGGGCCCCCTGTCCCCCCAACACGTGAGCTCTAATCCCCGTGGGTCCAGGTTGCTGCGTGAGTTAGAGTCCAGCCGACTGCGAGACAGATGCAAAATGGGGTCCCCCCGGCGGATGCAAAATGGGGTCCCCCCGCCACCCCCCACCCGCCGGGGCCTGGTGACGTTTCTCAAGGCGCTCGTTTCTGTATTTCAATTTTGCCTGTCTCAGGACGAGGGTGTGAGCGGGGAGCTAGAGAAGCCGGTGAGGCGGCGGCGCCAGGCCCCTGCAGCCTCTCCCCCGTGGGGGCGCGCCCCACACCCCCTGCGCACTCTGTTCGGCTAAGTGGTTGTCTGGCTCAAACGCACTTCGCTCAATATGGTGCTTGTTAAAAGCTTATTAGAGAAATAATCACCCTGGATGTGTCGGCTATTCAGACATCACCGTGGGAAATAAATGACAAGGCCTTTGAAGTGGACGAGAGGAAGGACGCCACTCAGGTCGATGGTATACACAGATGTAAGAAGACCTAGCTGTCCACAGAGAAACACCTGCTTGCTATGAATCGTGTTCTGCGCCCAGTGCCAAATGGGTCCGTGGTCCTGCCGGTTCCCAGGCAATCCGAAAGGGTCTGACAGCCCTTGACTAAAGGAAGCCACCAGCAGGAGAGGTAGACACGGTCACCTTGTCACGCTAACTATCCAACTCCCACGTGGACAGGGATATTTCTGGAATGACTTTCTATGTCCTCAGTCTCTGGCCTACCTTTTGGGGGCTCTCAGGGAGGGAAAACTATGTTGGATGGTCCGGCTTGGGGCAGCGAAGAGATCGGTGGGGCCGAGGCGTGGACCTGCTAGGCGGGTCCCGTGGCCAGGGGGACGGGCTGGCCTGTTCCCAGCAGCCTCTAAGCAGAGCAGAGCCCAGGGCCTCTCAGGTCAGAGCCCAGACATGTCCTCACACAAGAAAGGCCAGAGGCCCTCGGTGTCCAGGCAGATGGTGGCAGAAAGGGTACATCCTCGTGTCAGAGGGCCCGCCCAGCTCGTGCTAGGCAGCTGTCCCTGACCACGCCCCCAGTTCTAGGCTTCTCTGCTGGGGAACTGGGGGACACCTATCAGGGGGACCCAGCTGGCCTATGGTGGTCCCTGGAGCTAAGACCTGACGTTTTAGTTCGGGCCAGATATTCAGTCCAGGCCCCTTGCCTGCCCCCGAGTGCTCCCAAGAGGTCATGAGAAAGCAGGAGGTGAAGCAGGCAGCTGACCTCCCAACTCGCAAATGGGCTGGGCAGCGCTGGGGAAGGTGGAGAAGCCACGTGGGCAGAGCTATCGGGCCTGGGGCCTGCGTCCCACACCGGTCCTCCCAGGCTGCAAGTGCAGGATTCGAGGATCACGGCAAATGCTGGAATCCACAGCCCTGACATTCTGTGGTCTGAGACTCACAGATTCTCGGGTTCCAGAACCATCTTGACGGAGCTCCAGGACCCCAGCCCAAGACGCCAGCTTTGAGCGTCTGCACCGAGACTCCCCTCCACGCGTGGTGTGTTAAGTCCCGAGAGGGGTCACATCCCGAGGGGGGGTGTGATGTCCCCAGGTCGGACCCGTCAGTGTCCCGGAAGGCAGCCGGCGTGCCTGCCCACTGCCTCTCCCCTCCCCGGTGCCTACGGTGGTGCCTGACACAGGGCAGAAACTCAGGTGGGATGAATGAATGGGCTCGCTCAGAGGGGCGCAGGAGCAAAGTGCAAATACAGAAACCAAAGCTGAGAAGGCCGCGAAGGAACACCGACTGGTGGCTGCCCTGGGCCTGCATTAGGAACGTGGTTTCTGTCACTGAAACCAGGAGTTTTCTGGGGAAGGTGGGGGAGGGGGAGACCACAGGAAAGTAGCTAAATATTCCCCGACGTAGCCAACCCCATATTTGTGCTGCCCCTTGGGCCAAATTACAGTGAAAGTACTTAAAATTGCGCTTTATATACTCCTGCTACTTGGGAGACATCTTGGTGGGGGGGGGGTCCATTTTGGAAACCAGGCTCGCCCCCCCCAAAGCACCCTGGGGTCTGGCTTCATGCCTGCAGTACTCGGCTTACACACTAGGTGGCAGTGCCCACCACCACTGCCACCGATACCACCATACCTGACTCAGCCACATCAGCAATGTCCACCCCTTGCTCTTGTGCCATGAAGCCCAGGATGGAAAAAATTGCGAAGCCAGACACAAAACTGGTACCACTGTTCAGGCATCCCAGCAGCAAACAGTCCCTAAGTTACACATATGTCAGGGAGCAAGTTAATTCACAACACAAGGAAGCCACGCTCCCTACTTCTTCTCTTTTTTTCTTTAAACATCATCATTTCTAAGGTCCACCAGGCCCGTCGGCGCAACACTTGCCTGTACGAGTTGTACTTGTACTTGTTGTAGCTCCCCAGCGAGGTCATGGCTCCCAGGCAGATGGCATAGGAGAAGAAGATTTGGGTCCCCGCATCAATCCAAACCTGGGGGAGGCAGGGGCCAGGGGGACAGAGAGAGAGAAGGGGCCATCAGAGCGGGCTTCCTGGAGGCGGCGGCAAGGGTCCCTGGCCCTCTGGCTGAGGACTGCCCTTTGCAGGTGCAGTGTCTCAGTGCAACTGCAGCATCTTCACTGCAGACAGTGTTTTTCAAGGGTGATACTGAGCTAGAAGGAAACCCAAGGAGGACTCCCAGGAGTGGAGCATCCGTTAAGAGACTGGGCTCTGAGCAGGGCAGGACCCTGGCAAGCTAACGGGACTCTAGGAGCATGCTCCTGGTCCCACCCGGCAGAGCTGCCCTCTGGGTTCAGAGGAAAGACGCAGCCCAGGGTCAGACGGGGGCTGAGCCCTGAGTCAAAGCTGCCACCATTAACGGAACTGCTGACTGGGGCCCGAGTGAGAAAGGGAGGAACTCCCTCGTGGACCCGCTCAGGCTGCTCGTTCCCAGAACCCTCACCAAGGAGCTAATGGCCACAAAGCTTCCTGTCAGCTGTCCTCTGAGGCTGGTCACGCCCCCCTGCCTCCCGCCCAGGGCAAAGGACACTGGGGAGGAGACCCAACCCAGAGGCATGGAGGGACAGCCTTAGTCTGAGGACCCGGGGGCCAAAGGGCTCACAGTCCCAGGAAGACCTCCCGGAGCGTCTCCGGCCCTGAGGCCGGGGCTGCCGGCCAGGTGGTGGTGGACTTTCGGGGTTTGGCCCCTTGACCTTCCAAGAGGTCACCAACTCTGAATTCTGTCCTCAGCCGAGGGGCCAGCCAATGTCCGACCCCCACGGTACAGGGCTCTCAGCCGCTGCGGGCAGGGGCCCGCGCCAAGGAGGAGCCCGGCTCAGAGACTTCTCTGCCTCACCTGGCGCGGTGCCCGAAGCAGACGCTATAATTGGCTGGCCTCAGGAGTCCTCAGCGTGAAAAGATACACACAGCTGGAAAGGTCCGTGAGTGCCGTGAACAGGCGCCACCGCCCAGTGGAAAAGTACCAGGGCCCGCGGCCCAGCTGGAAGCTGCACCCAGAACCTCCACACCGGCCCAGACCAGCCCCGGGGGGGACCGCCTGCCCGCCATACCTGTGGGTCCTCGAGGCGGGTGATGTCGGGGTACAGATAGAACTTGATGCCTGCACCGGCACCGGGCAGCGTCAGTCCACGCACCAGCAACACCAGGAGCATAGCGAACGGGAAGGTGGCGGTGAAGTACACAACCTGTGGGAGCAGCGTGTCAGGACGCCAGCCGCCGCGGCCCCGGCAGGCCCCGGGCCAGGTTTCTCGTCATGGGCTCTGTCACTTGGACAGGTTGCTCAATCGCTCCGGGCCTCAGCTGCCTGCCCGTCACCTAGGCACTGGCTTTACTGAGACTCAGCGAGACGCCTCTCGGCGTCCTTGCTGGGTACGAGGCCCTGCACAGACCGTGGCGGGCGGCAAAGGAGGGAAAGCTGTTCTCACGGAACTGGCGTGCTCCACGGTGGAGAAGGAAGAGGCAGGAGCGAGCTGTTGCGTGCGTGGAAGGCTGAGCCCGCTGGCACCCGGCCCTGTTCACACCCGCTAGTATGGCACCTGAGGCTGAGCCCGCTGGCACCCGGCCCTGTTCACACCCGCTAACACGGCACCTGAGAGCATGACTCACGCCCAGGGCGGCAGGCGGGGTGCAGACCCCAGCTCCGGCCCCTCACTGCTGCGCGACCTGCCCTGGCCCACCGCCCCGAGTGAAACAGGAGATGCGAGTCTCAGCAGCCTTCACCCAAGGCCTTACTGGCTGCTCCCCTGGAACAGGGCACAGAGGGGCCAAGACTCGGGGCTGCCTGCGAACTCCAGGGCCCCTCGGCCAGGCTCGGGAAAGCCCTGGGCACAGCGGGAGGCCAGCAGCCTCCCTGTCAGGCCAAGGTCAGACACGAGGTGGGACCAGGTGACCAGGCTGGCCCTCCAACCACAGGACCTGTGCTCCTCTCCGCTCCTCTCCACCCTGGCACTCGGGCCTGCCCTAGGCCTGCGAGGCGCTTCACAGCCACCCCTCTCTTGAAGTGGGGCCACCGAGAACCAGCGTCCAGGCGGAGGAGTACCACCCCACCCCACCCCACCCCCGTCCCGAGTCTGCTCTGGATGACAACCCAGAAGGGGACGGGTTCAGCTCCCCCAAAGAGCAGAGGAGCTCGGGTGGGAGCCGAGCTCAATGAGCCTTGCTGAGACCATGAGCGAGACCCTGTCCCTCTCCCCATCTAGGAAGGGGGAGCAGGAGACAGGAGTGAAGGGGCTCCTCCCAGCAGGTCTCACCTGTCCACCTTCCCATGTGTCCACCTCACTGGCCACCATGGGAGCCGCTCCCTAGCGGCTCCCTCTGGGCCTGAGTCTCCCCAGCCAACCTTACTTCCATGCTTTTCTCAATCTCCCTGGAGCTAAGAAGCCTCACGAATTCCAGGACCAGCGGCAGCTGGAGGGTGGGGCAGGTCAGGAAGCCAGAGGGGGTGAGGGAAGAAAGCGAACCTGCCTGCCCCACAGGCTGCGCCTCCCTTCCTGCAGACAGGCCCCCAGTTCCACCTCTGGGACCCTGCCGGCCACACCCAGGCTTCGGAACAATAGCTGCTGACAGCAGCCTCCCTGAGGGCGGCCACTTCAAAGTGACCCACTGGCTGGGCAACCGGCTGGCCGGAGGCTTTGTGTCAGGGACACAGGACACCTTGGGGATGGGGCGACTTCCCTTGTTTCCATGCATTTGTTGAACAGGCATTGAGTGGCATTTACTGAGTGCCACGCACTACACGAGCTTGCAAGCTTGGGGGTATGAACACACACGAACCTCACAACCACCTACAGAGGTGGGAATGTTATTACCTGCGTTTTCTAAAGGAAAATGCATAAACTGAGGCCCCAGTGGCCTGGGGTCACACAGCTAGGTGGAAGCAGAGATGGGATTTGATCTAGGTCACCTGGCTTCAAGGCGCCTCCTTGGTGTGTGCATCGTGTGTGTGTGGGGGGGGGGGGTGCTGCTTCTCCCCAGATCCAGACAGCACCCCGAGCTGGTCCCACCACCTCAGCTGCCTCTCTGGAAAACCGCCTTGTTTTGCAGTTTGCCACTCTGAGCATGAGCCCCTGAGAGCCCTTCCCTCAACTTTTCCGTGACTCCCCTGGGATCCTCGAGGGAGAGGCTGGTGCCAGCCGCCGCCAGTGGGCCTCGGCGCTGGCCCAGCAGGCTTTGCCACAGGACGTGGTATTTTTCCACTCTTGCTGGCAAGCCTCCGTGGCTCCTCTGAGCCCTCGACCCAAAAGCCCTGTGGCCCAACTGCTCTGGAAACTTGCAAGGACAATTCTTCCTCCTCCCTAGAGATGTGGGGAGAGGGTGGCCTTCGTGGCAGAGGGAGCTGGGCTGACGAGCTTCCTCTGGGGGTGAAGGTCTGGGCAGCCGGGTTGCTCACACCAGCAACAAGGGGTCACGGGTGTCGTCTGGCACCAAGGCAGGGCCCGGCACCCCAGTGTCGGGGGAGAACGCAGGCATGTGCTTGACAGTCCGTTCAGTGCGCTGTGGCCACGGACACTTAATCCTCACAGCCACCTCATTCCACACAGGGGAAACCGAGTCTCAAAGATGGAAAGAACGCTGCTGGCAGTCGGTGGGACAGAGTGGAGCCCCAGAGCCACCGGCCTTGACCGCGCCCCACCTCTGGGGCGGAAGGCCCTGCCTGGAGGCCGGCGCCAGCAGGGGTCTGTGCTCAGGTCTGGGAATGCGCCCTCTTGGGGCTGCACTTCCTGTGTGAGGTCTGGACTTCTCTGACCTGCCCGGGACTCACATGTGGTGACAGCATGACCGTGCCAGTCTCGTGCCCAGCGCCTGGGTAGGCCAGCACAGAACAGGCAGCAGCCAGCAGCTGGAAAAGCAGGAGGCCCCAAGGCAGGGAGCTGGGTGGCCTGGGTTCAAATCCCACGCTGGCCACTGACAAGCTGTGTGACCTCGGCAAGGCCACGGACCTCTCTGCACTCGTCTCCTGCGTGTGGAGGGGACCAGTGAGCACCACAACAGGACACTGGGGGATCACACAAGCTGGCCAACAGAACCGGGCCTGGCACCTGGGTGCTGCACAGCACCTGTGGCTGTTACCACTGTTGAAATAAGCCACAGCGTGCTCTGGGCCAAGTTTCGGGCCCTCGGAATGCTGAAAATAACAAAAAAGGGAAATCGAGACTCAGAAACACTTGAACTTGGGGCCTGAGTCTCCAGGACCCGGGTTCGCCTTCCCGGTCCCTGTGGGAGCAGTGTCAGCCGCCGGAACGGGGCCCTGGCCAAGATGGGGTCGCGCCTTCTCCCGCCCGTGGGCCCAGCACCCACGGTGGCGGCGCACCGGGTCCATGGCCAGGGCTGGAAGCCGCGGCCGGCGGCGGCAGGCTGGCCATGGAGCTGGAGGAAGTCCGCGAGCCTGCTATGTTTGTCTTGGCTCCTCAGAGCTGGCCCAGGCCCTGCTATTGTTCTGGGAACCACGCCCGCCCTCAGGGGCCTGGAGCGGGAGGACGCCTCTCCAGGGCGGTAGGGGAACCTCCGGCAGGTCACGTCTTCCTCGGCCACAGAGGCAGCCTGGCACCCCACTTCAGCCTTAGACCCTCTTCTCCTGTCCCCTCACGGCCCTCTCGGACGTGGCTCGCTGCTCCTGACGGACAATGGCCTCTTCTGTCCTCCTCGAGGGGCTGGTCACACCCCAGCCCTTGCGTCCACTGCCCTCTCCAGGGACCTTCTCCCGGTCCACACGGCTGCTCTCCAGGCTTCCCTCAGACCCGTGCCCCCAAGTCGCCCTCCCGGCGAGCCTTGCCTACTTAAAGTGATGTCCACGCTCCCTGACCTGCTCACCGTGTTCTTCCCATAGGCCCCCCGTCGCACTCCTCTACCTTGCAGGCTTTCATCTTCGACAGCCAGCAAACCTGGCCTGGATCATCTGCTTCATCTCTGTCCCCGGCTCCCCCCGCACATCGGTCTCCAGCGGGGCAAGTCACAGGAGTGCTTAGTGGGTGACTGAGTCTCCCGCACGCTGGTGTCCGTGTGCTCTAAAAGCTTCCCCACACTCTATTTAAGGGGGGAAATGGAGGCAGCGAGGAGCTGGGGGTTCACTGCACCGACTCTTGCCTGCTGAGCTAGGTACCCAACAGCCCTCATCTGAACACTCACTACTGTCCACTTTACTATGCGAGGAAACGGAGGCCCAGGTTGGACAAGTCCCTTAACCTTGACCGAACTCAGTTCTCTCGTCCTTTAAAGAAAGACAATGACGTGGTCCAAGCAAGGTAACGAGACGTGAGAGGAAACGGGATGACGGGTGACGCTGCAGCCCAAGGAGGCGGGGTACCGCCTCCACCCCACTCTCCCTGGGAGGGGACGGAGGTTCTGAAGCCTGTCTGCCTGCCCCCAGAGACTGCATTTCAGGAGTGCAGGGTGGTTCTGCCCCAATAAACTGGCAGAGAGCATGGGGTGAGGCTCTCTCCAGCCGTGCTCCCTGCTCCGCCTGTGCAACCTGTGGGGCCTCAGATCTTGGCCCTCAGGAGTCAGCAGCTAATGCCATGAGTAGTTTAGAACCACAATTTCGCCAAAGGAGTCTTCCTGGGGGAAAGCACGGTCATGAGCTAATCACGCAAGGCCCTTCCCAAGCAACTGCACTTCGAGCGCCACATCAACATACAATCTGACTCTTGGGCTCTTCTTTCAGAGCCAGTTCCCTCTCTGGAGACACTAATAATGCACCGCAGAGAAGGCCTATCGTGGTAGGTCAGCTGCACCTCAGGGCTCTGCTCAGGCCGCTCCCATCTTAAGAGACCCCTCTGTACCGACCGGTCCTCGTGACCCAGCGTCAGCCCGTGTCTTGGGTACCAGGTCACTGTTCTGCTCTGTTAACGAGTAACGCTTTGGTTTGTAGGCCAACATTTTCATTATTGCCAATATCCCAGTTCTACCGAAAACTTTAATGACAAGCCAACATTTTAATTATCAGCTACCATCTTTGTTAATAGCTAACATCCTGGCCACCGCGTAACATATTAATCAGCAGCAAATATTTCAGCGATGTATACTCTTAGTTAACAACTAACATCCTGGTTAGGAGCGAAGGACTTAATTGTCATTGAGCAGTTTCCTTAATAACTAACATCTTAGCTGCCAGATGAAATTTGACTTGTAAGCTAATTCAGTTAGTCTGGCGTGGCAGTGCTCCGCAGCCCTGGCATGCGGGGCACGGGGTGCCGCTTGTCAGCAGATGCTGATGCTGTGGGGCGGGGCAGGGCTCTGCATTTCTAACACGCTCCCAGGATGCCGGTCCGGTACTTTGCAAGGCAAGAGTCAGAGTAACTGTCAACAGCTCCCAGCTAACCTGTCAGTTACAACTCAACTTCTGCTGTGTGCAGTAACGGCCAGAGCTTCTGTGGAAGGCTGGTGTGTGCAGCACCGACTGGGTGGGGGTGTTAACTCCGAGAATGAGTGGCGTTAACTCCTAGAATAATACTAGGCGTTAAAACGTCAGCATCGCTCTTTTGAGGACAAAATTTGACCCATAATAGATGTTGGATAGCTAAACAAGCCTGTGTTCAAACCCATAAGCAAGTCGTTTAGCTTTTCCAAGCCTCAGTTTTCTACTCCAGCACACAGGCCCCCCACGTCAGTTAGAGAAGGGATTATATGTAAAGTGCTTAAGACAATATTGGGCAGGCGGTAAACACTCAGGCAATTAGCAGCTGCTTGTTAAGCTGGCCACGAGGAGTAAGCGGACACGGTGGGCGTCCCCGTGGGTGAGTGCTCTGGAGACCAGGCCCCAGCGCAGCCCGACGGGAGGAAGGCCTCCGGCGAGGCCGGGCAGGGACAGGACACTTACCTTCCCCGTGGACCTGACGCCCTTCCAGATGCAGAAGAAACAGATCAGCCAGACGAAGAGGAGGCAGAGGGCAAGGTCCCACTTCAGAGAGCCGGGGGCATCGATGCCGGAGGACAGGCTGAGGACATTGCGCCTTTGAGCAAACAGAGCAGGGTCAGTCCGGCCAGCTGGCGCAGAGTCACGGCCTGGGCAGTCCCAGGCCACGCCGCCCGGCGAGGCCCAGCCCTGGGACCCCGCTGGCCTCGGGACAGTGCGCCTCACGTCAGTGTGGCATGGCAACCAGAAAACCAAACCTGCCTCCACCCGGCCGAGCCTCAGGCGATGAAGGAACCCACGAGTTTCAGCTTCCTCGTCTGTCACATGGGCAAGCTCAGGGTGACTGGAGACCCTTCAGGGCCCACTGTGGTCAACTCAGCTTCCCCCTGCTATCGCCAGTTTAGGTTCGTGACCGCAGCTCCCACACCTCATCTCACCCCGAAAATGGCAACAACAACCCTTCCCCCAACACACTTATGACTATTTGCCCACTTTTTTATCGAGGTCTCTCAGTAAGATGGACACTCCAGAGGGCAGAATCTCCCCTGTGCCTGACACCGCCAGCCCCCTCCTCATAGGATGGTCATTAGGAGACCCAACCGGGGTGCAGCCAGCACCCATACACACCAGCCTGGTTACTTCCTGCTGTCAAGGTGCCCAGGCAGCTCCTGGCACTCAGCTGGCACTTAAGCAGAGCTGGATTTTTTTTCCCCAGCCAGGGTGGAGAAGGTCTTGGAAGGAGCAGGTCAGCAGCCTGAAGGACAACGAGCCCAGGGCAGCCATTAGCCCTGCCCAGCAGAGCCCGGGTCTTGCAGTCAAGACCCTCCCGGCCAGCACCGCCTTGCACACTGCACCTAGACACACCCCGTGGGCCAGTGCCGTCAGGAGCCAGGGCAGGGACCGTGACACGATGTCGGCTACAGCCAGGCCCGAGGCAACCACGAGCGCTGCAAGCTGTTCTCCTCCAACGGCTCACCTGCCCGCTGCGTCTCCAGGCCAGACCCTGGGCAACGGGGAACCGGCTCTCCCGGGAGACCTGGTTTTCTCGCTAAGGAAGTATCTGAAGGCCACCCTCTATCACCTTCTATCAGGAAGGGGACAGTGACTTCTATCAGGAAGGGCGACACAGACTTCACACCTCAGTTCTGTCCTCTGTAAATCACAGCAACAGAGATCCTGCCCCAGGACGCAGCAAGGGGAAGCAGCCCAGACCACCTCACTAGGCCAGTTGGCAGATGACCCCCGAGGCTGGATGCGGGCCTTGGACCACCCGCGATGTCAAGGCTTTGCCATTTCCCCCTTGTTTCAAAGAAAATTCAACATGGGGATCTTGAATAACACCAAGGTTTCCATCTCAAACGGCCTTCAAAAGAAAGGTCTCTCTTTGGGGTCACTTCTATGACCCCAACACATATGGGGTGAGTGTGAGAGGGGCAAGTTCACCATCACTTGGACCAACCCGTGAAACATTGGGGGGCATCCCTGTACCTTGCGTGACACGTGCTGTGACGACAGAACAGGGCCCCTGGTGGAGGCCTGGTCGCTCACTGGGTGCAGGTAATGCCCATGCCCCCATTTTACAGATGGGGAAAGCTGAGGCCAGAGTCCCAAGCGCCAGTGGACATGGTCTCGCAGGTGGCAGAGACTCCACATGCAGGCCAGTCTCAACACACTGAACAGTGAAAACAGAGCCTCAGGCGTAAACAGAACCCTAATTCCTGCAGCAAGCCAGGATCATCTAGAGCTTGGGGAGACAGAGCAGGTGGCCAGTCACTTCCTAGGTGCCCAGAGTCCTGCCTGGAGCACCTGCACCAGACGGACACCAAAAAGCCCTGCCCCTGTACCTCCAGAGCCAGCGCCTTCCATGAAGCCCAGGGCTGCCCAGTGCAGGGGCAGGGGCAGGGAGCCCCTGCCACTCCCCTCCTCGCACCTGGCGCCCAGACTAACAGCAGGCTGTGTCTGGCACCTCCCGGTGGGCGGCCAAGGCCATGCGCTCTAGGCACGCACACAGTGGGTGCTCAGCAGTGCTGGGCAGTGCCGTGAGACGGGAGGCTGCCTCACCGGCTGGCTGCGGGCAAGACCATTGACGGCCACCACAGCCGCCAGAGCCGCCAGCTTGGTTCTGCAGCGTGGCAGTCCCTGGCAGGCGCCCGTGGCGAGGCGGCGTCTGAGCCGTGTCTCTGACCCAGCAGGCCCATCCGACTCCTCCAACCTAACACTGGGCTCAAGACCGAGGAACAGGAAGACAGCGCAGGGCTCCCCGGGTGCTGATAAGGAGCCACAGCCTGGAGACAGAGGTGCAGCCCCACAGACGCTCCCCATTGTGTGAGGGGCGGGGGGTGCGCCGGGACTTGAGCAAACCTGTTTCTGGCAGGGCGCACGCGAGGGCGGGGAGGGGCGCCAGGCGGGGAGGACGTGCGGGAGGGCCTGAACACCAGTCAGCCTTTATTTTTAACTGCTTGAATATTTATAATGTGCACACATCGCTTTTATAAAATTTATTTTAAATTCTTGAAAATGTTTGTAACGGGCCGGCAGACGTCCTAGGAATGGAATGAATTGTGTCCCATCAATCTGGGGTTGTCATAACAGAGCCCGACGTGGGCTGAGCGCCAGCGACCAACATCCTTTCCAGAAGCATTTCGGGCAGCCGTGCGGGTGCGCCTGGATGGCTTTTGGGGCGGGGGGGGGGGGGGGCCCCTTCTGAAGGACCCTCCACGAGTCCCTTTCCTGTTGGACTCCGCTGGCCTCAGCGGAGCAGAGGAGCTAGTGAGCGTTCCCCCTGCGGAGCCCAGGAGTGGCCACCTCACTGACCTCCACCTCCTAACCTCCTAGCAGGCCGGGTACAGGACCCCAAAGCCGGCCACTTCTGTTCAATGCTACCACCCCTGCCTGGACTCCCCATTGCTCCCCGGGCTATTTCTGCAGTCCCCTCACTGGGCTTCCAGCCTCCACTCTCACCGTCTACAGCCTCTCATTAAGAGGAAATCCTTCGGGCCCTCCCTGGTGGCGCAGCGGGTTAAAGCGCAGCACTGAGAAGTTACAGCCACTTCCCCATCAGTTCGATCCCCTCCTGCCCCAGAGGTGACCACATGGCGCGGCAGACCTCTCCTGACCCGCCCGCTGCTCCCCTCAGCAGTGTACTACGTCGATCTGCCTGTTCTGTTCCCCACTGTCTCTGGTGAACCCTCTCACCCCCTGCACCTCTGGCCTGTCCCCCAGCTCTGTATGCACATATAAATAAATCTTTCGATGCCCCCACGTCAGGGCAAGTCCCTCCTCCGCTCCACACCCTCTCAAGGCTCCCTCCTTCCCGGCCAGCGGGGCCTCCCGACCTGGCCTCCTTTGGCCTCCTGAAGAGGGTAGGCAGGCCATCTATCATTCAGCCCAGACACTTTAATGAGCGATAGGGGCGTTAATAAGGAAGCAGGGAGCGGGAACGGACACTGGGCCCTCACCCCTGCATTGCCTGTCACTCCCTCTTCCAGCCACACTCTTTTCTGCTATGTTCCCTATTCCTGACTGGCTGCTCCCTGGGCTACTCATTACATGTCACGCCACACCCGCCCTTCAGGTCTCGGTTTGGTTCAATGCCAGCTTGCCAGGACTATCTGAAATGCATGCCCGGCTACTCTCCTGCCCCTGCCCTGGCGTTATTTCTCACCATGGAACACGGCTGTCACATTGCAATTTTACTTATGTCATCTGTTTAATGCGTGTCCTAGAGTGTGATCTCTGTGGAGTCAGTCTTCTGCATGCCTCGACCCAAAATAGTGCCTGTCACCCAGTCTGTGCTCAAGAGACCTCCATTGAGTGAACTATTACACCTATTTGGGTGACAAGGAAACTGAGGCATGGAGGTTGGGGAATTCTCCTGAAATCACTGTGCTGGAACTCGGCCTCAGCTGGTTCCTTTTCTCTGCTGCCACCCTGGGGACCAGCCACCCATACGCTGGGTCCCACGTCGCCCTTCAAGAGGGCCTCTAGCACCCAAGCTTCTCCGCATCGTGAACGAGGGAGGAGACCCAGAGGTGAGCTGCATTCTTGTCCAAGAATAGTAATGATTCATTCCAGGGTGGGATCCAAAAAAGAATCGCCTGGACGTCTGTTTTGAGTCGGCCGCCCTGCTGCCGTCCAGCCGGCACTCAGAGATGTAAATACGTCCTCCGAGTGGGCCAAATCGTTTCCTTTTGACTCCCGGCCAGCCATTTATTGGCGATGGCTCTTCCCTGGAGACCAGCGGAGGCAACAATTATAAAGGCCCGTCCGCCTGAGCGTGAGGCTGCGCAAGTCTCTCCCCAGCGCCTCCCCCTGCCGACAGCTGCCGGGGAAGATTGGCCGAGCAGGGCTTGTTTGCAAATATGACTCATTTCTTTGATTCTAATAACATCTAATGATACGTGCCGAGCTCCCAGGGGGCTCCAGAGGAACCTGGGAGGAAGGCACAGCTCCAGCCTGATGAAGGGCAACTGGCCAGAGCTGGCCCTGCCTGTCTCGCAGGGCCCTGGGGACAGAGCCTACCCCGGGCAGGGGTGAGAGAGGTGAGGGTGACCGGGAATAGACACGCTGCTTCCCCACCACGGAGCAGTGCAGTTAAATTATCAAGCTGGTGTGAAATGATGATCTCAGGGGCCCCGTGGCTGCCCCAGGGACCTGGAAAAGGGCGTCTCACAGACTTCTGCACAGAGTGCAGCCCGAGCTCGGCCCGGGGGCCCCGGGCAAGAGAGAACCCCACTTGTAAGCGGGCAGTGGGCTCACACACGGTGCAGTGCTGCCCGTGACGGCGGGCCAGCCCTGGGCTCGTGGCGGAGGAGGACACAGGCCAGAGTGGGGTGGGCTGGGCTGCCTCCAGGGTTGGCTGTCTGACCCTGTGTGTAACCTTGGCCAAGACACTTAACTTCTGGGTCCTCAGGGTCTAACCAGAGGAGTGGCGTCTGGAGGTTCTGTCCTCAGCACAGGCCTTGCCTCAACTCTTGAGGTCTGGAGCCTAGTGGGGAGGTGTCCAGCCCCCGCCAGCAGGCCGTGCAGCTGGGTGGGAGCCAGTCAGCCCTCCAGGGACACCAGCCCTTGCACCCGCTGCCCCCTCTTATAAAGAGGAGGGGGATCAACAGGCCCCTCCTGGTCCAGACGGAGCAAGTCAGCTCCCAGAGCCTCGTCATCCTGACTCCCAGCTCCCGTCAGGCTGCTTCTGCTGAAGGACAGGACAGCGCAGGGACCGAGTGCCAGCGAAGGCAAGCGGCTGGGCTGGGCTGGCGCGAGCAGCGTGCAGACTGCCTGCACTGTCTCACTGCCCTGCAGCCTAACGGGTACCAGCAGCGGCCCTGCCAGTCCCTCTCCAGGGAAACGCCACAGGTGCGCACGGCTGGCCGGTGGCTATTTTCAGGGGAAACCCTCTCCACCAAGGCTCATTGCCAAGGGAGCCCAGATGCACGACGGCTGCGGCCTCGGAGGCCTGGTGCACAGTTGGTGCTCAGGACACACCGGCATCTCTCCCGTCAGCGTGCTCCTGGGTGAGGTCCAGAAACACTGATTCAACCACGCCAGTGTTCTCATATCCTGCCGAGGGAAGCCTCCGAGCTCGGACTCATCGGCCTCGTCTCTGAGGCCTTCAGTCCTCCTCCCTGATCTCATGAGTCCTATGTTCCGGCCAAAGCAATATCCCGCTGTTCCCAAACATGCATGTGCTCTCAGGATGCCACGCCTCTCCGTGGGCTGCGCCCCTGGCTCGGGAGCCATTCTCTCTGCTTTAAAGCCTTGTGAGCAACTACTCACCCCTCAATGTCCAGCTCACGGGGCCCCTTCCATGAGGCCAGGCAGCGTCTTGCTGCTCCAAGCAGCCCTGTGGAGGCAGCTACGGAACTTATAAAAAGCACCTGCACCCGGAGCATGTTCTCACAGTGAGACCCCCCCACCCCAGAACCATGAGGCAGGACCATGGTGTGTGGGACCCTGCGAGTCCTGGGTCCTGGGTCGAGACAACA